GTCTCATTCCAAGTATAATGAACAGGAAACTCGTCATAAGTGTATGCATGGGCTGCAACATCTTCTAAGTTTGCCTGGAACTAAGCTGTCAGGGTCATTTTACGTAAGTTAGCATGATCTATAACGCATTGAAGATCTTCTCCTTTCTGGAAAGTAATAGACTGTTGATCCAGAAGATGAACAGCAAGCCATTTTACTGTTGGAGAGCGACCATGCATCTTGTAATGGAAAATCCTTCAAATGCTTTCAGAAGACGAAACGTATCTTGTGTCAAGATACATTTTGATCTCATCAATAGGTTCAGTATGATTCAATTGTCTATTATTAAGAGCTGATTGATATAAAGCTATTGTAGCACAATCATGATCTTGTACACATATTTATACAGGTACTTAATGGATAAGATTGAGTTGCAAATTTCTACGTTTATATGGGCGTTATATTTCGTCACTAAATCAACATTATACAGTACGATCCATCGGTTATCCAATCGAATGCCATTTCTTGTTTCAACATAACGGCCATTATCACGTCTTCGGTAAATTGGATAACCATTATTATCTTCTCTAGTAGATTCATTAAAATTCTTAGGGTAATGTTTCTGATATACATTATCTTTCATACATGGTGAAGAAGGGTTCATAGCACCACACAGACCATGCATCATCATGGTTGAAACAGTCTCATATGCAAGTGGATGTGTCAAAGGGTTTGGAATCTTAGCAGAAACAATGGAGTCGTAATCATCTGTTGTTCGCAACTTACTCTCTAAGGCTAATATAAGTAAGAAGTGAGCATGTGGCAAACCACGTTTCTGAAACTCTATCACGTATATATATGCTATAACTTTACTAAGACAATTTTTTTGTAATAGATCTTTTAAAAACTCCTTCAATTTCATATGAAATACGCGAGTAGTTAAGTCAGGACGATCAATAGCACTTTGATGAGGTCCTAACTCCCTGGTGATTTCCGGCCATTTGGAATTGCAAGTGAATGTTACAAAAAGATCAGGCTTACCAAAGCAACTTACAATGGCCATTGCATCTTGATACAGCTGATACATTTAGCGCGGACTACTAGCAAATGACGACGGAAGGATTATACGATAACCAACATCATTACTGTCTACAGCATGTAATGCATCTGATATACCATTATACAATTCAGTACATAAGGATTCTTGATTCAGTTTAAGGTAATTCAAGCGTTCCTATTCTATCTTAGCGTATTGGTTAATGATATACTGCTGGTACAAACGGCCTGCATTATGAATCCAATCTCCATCTATAATCTGCAGCCTATATAAATAGAATTGCATTGTTGACACTCTTTTTCTTTTCTTAGAATCTATAAGGGATATATCCATATGCCAACCATCATCACCTTGCGGAAATAACAACACATAATGAAAGGGGTCATAGAATGGATGAGTCTCCAATATTCTTTGTAGACTTCCATCACGCATCCTAAGAACAATGTTACAATTTGTTGCATGCAGCTCATGACCATCACCAAACATGATTGCAGCAACTTCAGAAGCTAAAGAAGTATTGTATCGACAGGGATCTCATGTTCGATCTTCATGAATGACCATTATAATTTCATTAGGCACGTTTGTTTGGATAAGATCTCTTACGCGATGAAAGTTCTGGATATATGAATTGCATTCATCTAATACGGTCAGCAGATTTTGTAGAATAGTATTGTCTAAGTCTGCCATAACATTATGATGATGTGCATTCTTATGTACAGAGTCATAGATATATAATTGCGCAAATGCCAGCTGAGAACCTTCTTCTGATAGTAACGAACTGATACGATGATAAATTTGGCTATGAATATGAAAGTTAGAAATGCCTTGTCCTGGGATCATATTTATATTAGCACTAAATGATGTACATGCCAAAACATTATTATAACGTCTAATGTTTTTCCAAAAAGAGATTGCATCAGAGTTCGATGAAGTATACAAATTCAACAAATAAGGAGAGGATTCAACCAAACGTGGCAAATGAACTTTGCCGTGTACACAGCAAGTCAAAAATATAGGATATGCAAAAGAGCTATTCTGATTCTTTTCCTCCATCCAAAACTTAGCATCACAATGGATGCAGGTTTGATTTATTCGGCCTAAATCATTTCATTTTATCCCATTATTTATAATTATCCTTTCACTGGTAATATTGACGTTTTGCCTCTTTCTTGAACAGACTTGATTCTCTTTAGGTAAACAATTCTGACGTATACCAGATGG